ATGACACAAGGCTTGTGTCACTGTGGTGATTCAGTCTTGACCTGTGTATCAATTTTCAAGACGGTTCAAGCTTGTTAAAGCCATTTAAAGGCCACACGTAATTGGTGGCGAGGGATCACTGTTCATTGCAACGCCATTAGTCGTGGCTTCACAACGTCCATAACGTAGCCTCACCACCTTGTTCTGCATGTACTAGGAGTGGAACGAAGTTGTTGGGGTCAATTGTGTAGGATTTATACGTGTTAGAATGAAGCTGGACACTTCCTGTTACCAGCGGGGGGCGCTATGAGTAAGGTGGGAAGTTAATATATCAGGGCGTTCAGGGCGCAGCCATCATCATGTCCAGCAAGTTTGAAGCTGCTCGGATAAAGTATTTGAGCGTGAGAGCCGTTCAAAAAACAGGATAATTCGCCAACATCTGGCACGCCCTTACAGCCACGCCCTTTGACCTGCAGACATTCTTTTGATAACTTTTCATCATCGTGGTCTCTAGATGACCTGTACCGAAATTGAAGCCGATCAGGCAAAATCCCTAGGAGGAGTTCGTTCAAATACCAATGGTGGACATCAGCAAAACGTGACCAATGAAATCAAAATGGCGGACTTCCTGTTTGGTTCTGACCATTGGTGCAAGAGACTTTTTTGTGCGTCTGGACACGTTACACATGTGTACCAAGTTTCATGTTGCTACTCCAAAAAAACCCCTATGGGGAGGGGTTTTTGAAAATTTCAAGGTGGCGCTGTTGAGGCATTTGGCCCCGCCCATGAGTGAGCTGCATATCAATTGAAAGAGCTCGTCAGTCTCGACATGTGTATTAAATATCATGTGGATACGAGTTCGTTAAAGCCATCAAAATGCCAAACGTAATTTCACGACGAAGGGTCGATGGTCGTTGCACCGCCACACGGACGCCGTTGGTCGTAGCTTCAGGACATTCATAATGTAGCTTCACCAACTTGTTCTGCATGTACTGGAAGTGGAATGGAGTTGATGGGGTTAACTATGTAGTATTTATACATGTTGGAGTAAAAGATGGTCATTTCCTTTCGTAAACAGGGGGCGCTATGAGTAAGGTAGGAAGTTAATATATCAGGACGTTCAGGGCGACGCCCTCATCATGTCCAGCAAGTTTGAAGCTGCTAGGATCATGTATGTGCACGTGAGAGCCGTTCGAAGTTTTACAGCGAGAAATCGAAATTCGCCAAATTTTGTCGCCCCCTAGCAGCCACGCCCTTTGACCTATCGACATTCTTTTAATACCTCTTCATTAGGATGGAGAGTAGATGATCTGTAGCAAATTTGAAGCTAATCAAGCGAAATCTGTAGGAGTAGGACTTCAAATACAAAAAAACTTCAATTCAAAATGGCGGACTTCCTGTTGACATTTCACCATGACATAGGCCGCCTTTTTTGTGCGTCTCACTCACGTACACATGTGTACCAAGTTTGAAGCTGCTAGGATCAAGTATGTGCGTGTGAGAGCAAAAGGAAATTTTAAAGCTAGCATAAAAACTTTGTCGCCCCCTAGCGGCCACATTCTTTCACCTGCCGAAATCCTTTTGATGCGCTTTTGATTGGCATCGTCTCTACATGATCTGTGCCAAATTTGAAGTCGATTGGGCGATATCCCTAGGAGGAGCGCGTTCGCAGCGTAAAAATTTCAAATCAAAATGGCGGACTTCCTGTTGAGATTTGGGGGGTCTTTCTAGAGACTTTTTTGCTCATCTGAGTATAATACACTTGTTTACCGATTTTCGTTTGCCTACGCGATCCAACCTATGGACTTTTTCGGAATTTTCAAGGGGGCGCTGTTTCACCATTTTGTCCTGCCCATGTGCAACGACCATAAAATATCAAATTTTTCGTGTGAGCGCAATGTTTTCCAGAATTCCGTGAGTTTTTGAGCACGGGAAAGGCTCCGAAAATGCGTTTTTTTAGGCTTTAAAATAATAATAATAATAATAATAATTAAAGCCGCAAGCGGCGTTGACGGGCCCTCGCGGTACCGACGCTTGATCGCGCCCACACCCCGCCGTACCCACTGCCCATTGCGTAACAGCCCCTGTGGCCCCAGAGTCACCTGCAGGTGCGTTCAGGGGCAGACCCTCATCACACATGTCAAGTTTCAGCCAAATCTGCCAATGCACGGTGGAGTAACGACAAGGTGAATATTCATCCACCAGGTGGCGCTAAGAGCGCAACCAAATGTGTGCAGTTACATTCAGGGTTCGTCCGTGATCACACACGTCAAGTTTGGGCTGAATCGGGCAATGCATGTCAAAGTTATGACAAGGTGAAGGCAGATCCACCAGGTGGCGCTAGAAGCACAACCAGACATGGGCAGTTATGTTCAGCGACCAACCCTCATCACACATGTGAAGTTTCAAGCAAATCAGACAATGCATGATGGATTTATGAGGAGTTGATGCTCTGTGGCGAGGGATCCGAAGCCGCCACTGCTTCCACGGCCAGCCTGTCACATGACACAAGGCTTGTGTCACTGTGGTGATTCAGTCTTGACCTGTGTATCAATTTTCAAGACGGTTCAAGCTTGTTAAAGCCATTTAAAGGCCACACGTAATTGGTGGCGAGGGATCACTGTTCATTGCAACGCCATCAGTCGTGGCTTCACAACGTCCATAACGTAGCCTCACCACCTTGTTCTGCATGTACTAGGAGTGGAACGAAGTTGTTGGGGTCAATTGTGTAGGATTTATACGTGTTAGAATGAAGCTGGACACTTCCTGTTACCAGCGGGGGGCGCTATGAGTAAGGTGGGAAGTTAATATATCAGGGCGTTCAGGGCGCAGCCATCATCATGTCCAGCAAGTTTGAAGCTGCTCGGATAAAGTATTTGAGCGTGAGAGCCGTTCAAAAAACAGGATAATTCGCCAACATCTGGCACGCCCTTACAGCCATGCCCTTTGACCTGCAGACATTCTTTTGATAACTTTTCATCATCGTGGTCTCTAGATGACCTGTACTGAAATTGAAGCCGATCAGGCAAAATCCCTAGGAGGAGTTCGTTCAAATACCAATGGTGGACATCAGCAAAACGTGACCAATGAAATCAAAATGGCGGACTTCCTGTTTGGTTCTGACCATTGGTGCAAGAGACTTTTTTGTGCGTCTGGACACGTTACACATGTGTACCAAGTTTCATGTTGCTACTCCAAAAAAACCCCTATGGGGAGGGGTTTTTGAAAATTTCAAGGTGGCGCTGTTGAGGCATTTGGCCCCGCCCATGAGTGAGCTGCATATCAATTGAAAGAGCTCGTCAGTCTCGACATGTGTATTAAATATCATGTGGATACAAGTTCGTTAAAGCCATCAAAATGCCAAACGTAATTTCACGACGAAGGGTCGATGGTCGTTGCACCGCCACACGGACGCCGTTGGTCGTAGCTTCAGGACATTCATAATGTAGCTTCACCAACTTGTTCTGCATGTACTGGAAGTGGAATGGAGTTGATGGGGTTAACTATGTAGTATTTATACATGTTGGAGTAAAAGATGGTCATTTCCTTTCGTAAACAGGGGGCGCTATGAGTAAGGTAGGAAGTTAATATATCAGAACGTTCAGGGCGACGCCCTCATCATGTCCAGCAAGGTTGAAGCTGCTAGGATCACGTATGTGCGCGTGAGAGCCATTCTAAGTTTTATGGCGAGAAATCGAAATTTGCCAAATTTTGTCGCCCCCTAGCAGCCATGCCCTTTGACCTATCGACATTCTTTTAATACCACTTCATTAGGATGGAGAGTAGATGGTCTGTAGCAAATTTGAAGTCAATCACGCGAAATCTCTAGGAGTAGGACTTCAAATACGAAAAAAATTCAATTCAAAATGGCGGACTTCCTGTTGACATTTCACCATGACATAGCCCGACTTTTTTGTGCGTCTCACTCACGTACACATGTGTATCAAGTTTGAAGCTGCTAGGATCAAGTATGTGCGTGTGAGAGCAAAAGGAAGTTTTAAAGCTAGCATAAAAACTTTGTCGCCCCCTAGCGGCCACATTCTTTCACCTGCCGAAATCCTTTTGATGCGCTTTTGATTGGCATCGTCTCTACATGATCTGTGCCAAATTTGAAGTCGATTGGGCGATATCCCTAGGAGGAGCGCGTTCGCAGCGTAAAACTTTCAAATCAAAATGGCGGACTTCCTGTTGAGATTTGGGGGGTCTTTCTAGAGACTTTTTTGCTCATCTGAGTATAATACACTTGTGTACCGATTTTCGTCCGCTTTTGCGATCCAACCTATGGACTTTTTCAAAATTTTCAAGGGGGCGCTGTTTCACCATTTTGTCCTGCCCATGTGCAACGACCATAAAATATCAAATTTTTCGTGTGAGCGCAATGTTTCCCAGAATTCCGTGAGTTTTTGAGCACGGGAAAGGCTCCGAAAATGCGATTTAAGAGGGACTTAAATAATAATAATAATAATAATAAACCTTACGATTACAATAGGTCCCTCGGGACGACTTCGTCGTACCGCTCGGGCCCTAATAATAATTAAAGCTGCAAGCAGCTGTGACGGGCCCTCGCGACCATGCGGCCGCGACCCACGCCCCGCCGGCCGTCTGCATGGCCTCAGGTCATCTGTTCCCTGCGGCTGCCGCGGCCCCCACAATTCTTGAGTGTCCTGCGACCCCAAGGCACCCGTGTTCTGCAGCCCCCACGGCCCTTGAGTCCCCTGTGACTCTGAGGCACCCGTGCTTTGCGGCCCTTGAGTCCACTGCAACTCCTTAGAAGCAATATATAAGGGAAATGAAGCTTAGTGAAAGTTCAGTGAGGAAGAGTATCTCTTTAAGCATGCTCAGTGAGTCTTATTTCATCTCTCTTGTTTACATCTTGATTCACATGTCTTCAAATGTGTTTGTGCGTCACATCTTGCCATTTTATTTCTAACAGTCTGTCCTGATTGAAATGGGAACAAAAGTCCATATAGATAGATACTTTATTCATCTTCAAGAGAAATTCACAAGATGTGTGGCTTGGTGGCTCAAGCTTGGATTCGAACCCTGGCCTTTTGTGTCCCAGCCCAATGCTCTACAGGTGAGCCATCCCAGCTAATATAAAGAGTTATTTCCTGTTTTCAGTAGGTGGCGTATGAGCGTGAGCAGACAGGGGTATGCATATGTGTTCAGGGGAGGACCATTATTACACATGGAGAATGTGGTACAATGCATACCATGTATGAAGGAGTTATGACATGTTGATGGTTCATTCACCAGTTGGCAGTATGAGCATAAGTGAGTGTGTTGCTGTAAAATTGTCATATATTAATATTTTTGTACTTTAAATGGTTCAGTCTTTTAGAGTTACTTTGTTTGGTGTGTGCATATAAAATAATAATAATAATTTTGGTGTTTTAACCCTTTAATGGCTAGTATGGCTTGGTGACTTGAACCTGGATTTGAACCCTGGTCTCCTGCGTTCCAGCCCTACGCTCTACAGGTGAGCTATCCCAGCTAATATAAAGCGTTGCTTCCTGTTTTCAGTAGGTGGCATTTGAGTGTGAGCAAACAGGGGTATGCACATTATATAACATACATGGCTAGTATGTTTATATAATGTCTGTGTTTTTTATTAAAAAAATGAAAAATTAAGTTTTTTCCATGAAATATATTTTGATGATCATTTGTCTGTTATTATTATTAGGTCCTCAGATGGGTGAATTATTGGCAGTAATTGTGTTTTTTCTAAATTATTATTTGTTTTTGCAGTGTCAGATTCTATAAAATTCTTCTTCTCATGTTGTTTTGGACCAGAAATGTTTCATAGGAAGCCATTATAAATGGTTTTTTTTAATCCCACATTTATCATATGATAAATTAATTAATTCCTTGATGTCAAGATATTATTTTGGACTATAGACCTTAAAATTGTAGTTCTTCTAGTTGTTTACCAGATGTTGCTACTTTCCCTCACTTTTAGTTTTCAGTTTTTTACTGTTTTTTTCATAGGAAACTATTCTAAATGATTTTTATTTTGCCCTTTTTCTATTTGTTTTTGGTCTTACATTTATCATATGATAAACTAATGCATTTCTTGATGTGAAGATTTTATTTTAGATTATAGGCCTTAAAATTGTAGTTTTTATAGTTGTCAAGCAGATGTTGCTACTTTTCCCTCACTTTTAGTTTTCAGTTTTTTACGTCTTTTTGTAATAGGAAACCATTGTAAATGATTTTATTTTGTCCTTTTTTTATTCTTTTTTGGTCCCACATTTATCATATGATAAACTAATGCATTTCTTGATGTGAAGATTTTCTTTTTGATTATAGGCCTTAAAATTGTAGTTTTTATAGTTGTCCACAAGATGTTGCTACTTTTCCCTCAGCTTTAGTTTTCAGTGTTTTATTTTTTCTCCATAGGAAACTATTGTAAATGTTTTGTTTTTCCTTTTTTTTTAATTGTTTTGTGGTCCCACATTTATCATATTATAAACTAATTCATTTCTTGATTTTTAGATATGATTTTGGAGTACAGGCCTTTAATTTTAATTTTTTTAAATTTTTATAGTTGTTTATTTCCAATTTAACCCTTAATAAAATTAAAAAAAAATAAAAATGGCATGAGTAAACACAGTTTCTTAAGTGTTTATTGTGTTATGTATGTAGAATAGTTATTGTGCTGAATGATTTTCTTTGTGTGTCTGTGTGTCTATATAGTGAATGCATATGTTATAATTTTGTTTGTGGCAGAGTGGATATGTTATTAATTGGACTTTATGTTTTGTGTGTTTGTGATTTGGTGTGTCGTGTTGGGCTTTTGAAGTATAACAGTAAAGTAGTATTGCTTTATATATTGAATGATTCTTTAATTTGGTGTGTGGTAAGGTGTTTCAAGGAAGGCTGATATCTGGAAATTAAATAATGGGACAGATTGGTCAGGACGTGGGGGATTGTGAGGCAGTTTAATCTTGCATGTATTTGGTGTGTGTTCACATGAATAGAGGGTGGAGGCATTCACCAAATGGAGTGGGAAGATGAGATTTCAAGTGTGGATGTTAAGGTTAATGATAGGTGTCAGGAACAGTATGGGGTGTCTGGGTGAGCTGGCAATTTGGTGCCTGATGTTTATTCCTGGAGACTCCATGCTGTGTTTGGATGTCTGCTTGAAGGTTTACAGTGTATATTGGTTTCCTTGGAAGAGTTAATGAAAGAGGTGTGTGGTGTTGTGGAAAAGTTTTCAAAACTTTCAAAATCAAAAGAGCAAAAGACATATATAATATTTGAGGTCTGGGAAGGTGAGCAAGAGTTCAGTTGGAATGAATGAATGTGGTTTATTGATGAGGGATGGATGTTGGAGAGAAGGCTAGTTGGACATGTACAGCATTGTTGTGCAAGGTTAATGTAATTTATGTTGTATGAAATGGGTTATGGTGTATACGTGCATATTTGTCAGAATGTGTAATGTGCTATTAAAAAAACATTGAATTGTTTCCATTCAATATATAATTAACAAGGTGTTGTTGTATTTCAAATTTGGTAGCAGTCTTGTTTAATGTCGTTATTATCCAGTTTCAGTCACAGTGTAGATTTGTTAAATTAGATTATCTGTCTTAAAGTTGTTCTTTTTCTCTGGCATTTGATATAGCATGGCGCAAAAATGTGAACATGAACAACTCCACCTCCCTCCAAAGTTTGTCGAGATTAATGATGAGTTTGTATTTCTGGTGGATTTCTCTTACATTTTAGTGTGACACCAGATTATTTATAGTATTTTAAGTTCAACAAAGAAAAGTGTAAAAGGTTCAGAAAGGTAACAATTGCATTAAGGGATTTATCATGGATCTGGAGGTGTTTTAAATTTACATTCAAAGAAATGCAGTGTCTGTGTCCAGATTAAGATTTAGATTTAAGATTTTGTTGTGTTTAAATAGATGTTTTGGATAAATGTATGTTTTATGTTTAGCATTAAAAACTTGAAAATGGACTGGTGCTGATACTAATCCAAGAGGAAGGTTAAGTTTAGGAGCTTGATGTCATTTAGTGAAGCAGTTATATGTTAAATAGTAGATCAATGTTTTGGAGTAATGTTTTGATTTTGTTAATGTGAAGTTTGGTAATAATTCATTAATTTAGATCAAGTTAAATTTAAGATATAAATGATAATTATATAAATGTTTTTATATAGCGTACATCGGGTCATGTACTGTGCGAATTGAAAACGCCCCTAAGTGATTGGAGACAACTGATTGGTTTGTAAGACTATGATGACACAGTACAAGAGCGGTGGACGCGCTCTTTGTCGTTTCCTTTCTTGAAGGGAAACACTTTCGAGCTGTTGGCTGTGATTGTTGTAGCAACGCTGAGCTTTGTTGAATCTGGTTCCATCTGTTCGGGTGGTACCGTATCATTAGCTTTGCTGCGTCAATCTTTGGTCTGCAAGCAAGTTATTTCTACACTACACTACACTACACTTCTCTACGCAACTTCCAGTTTCCAGGAAAAGTAAGTAGCCTTTGTTTTATTTTTCATTGTTTGTTTTGTTTGTGTGTTGCGGTCTGGTTGACTTTGTTTATATTTCAATGTAAGTTAAAATTGTGTGGCGCTAATTATTACTGTCTGTTGTTGTGTTGTCGGGTCATTGTTCGTTTTGCAAATTTTTATAAATCAGGCCTTTTCACACTTTCTTTAAATTCCGAAGCTTTGTGAGTGAAACAGTTAAATTGCTTTTAGTCACATTGTTTACGTTATGTGTTGTAGCCAGTCCTGTAACACACACAGCGTGGCCGCGGTGCCGGCAGGCCGACACAAATGCTCTTTGTTAATGTGCAACGGACGAAAGTTATAGTTTTAGTTTCGACCCGGTTCTTTCTGGAAATGTAGATATTTCACTTCAGTACAGTAAGTAGCCTTCTGTACGTTGTGAGACAAAAGCCTTGACCCTACAGTAGTTAACACCTTGAGTCAGCTCTTTGTTTGCGGGAGCAAGAGAACCGGTCCCACCTGGTTCTTTTGTCTCGCTCACACACACTCGAGCATGCATGGGTTTAAACAATTGTTTGGTGAAGCTCTAAAAAATATTTTTTATGCTTTTTTTTCGTTGGGTGAAATTGTTTTTGAATTATGGAACTGATTTGAATCATTTCTTGTTACAAACATGCTTGTGCGGACTTTGAAACTTCTGTCGGCCGCGCGTAATTGTTTGTCTCGCGCTTAGCGGCGGCTGCTGGGAGCGCGCGAAACCGACCTCAGACGGCTTTATATATTACTTTATAAGCTATAGGGTAATAATTTCGGGCTGTCTGCGACTAAGGATTTTCATAGTCGAATTTGATTGGTTAAATTTTGTCTTTAGTGGACTAATCCTCGAGTTATGTTGTTTTTTCTCATTGATTCATGATCTCATTCGTGTGGTTTTCCGCTTTAGAGGGAAGAGCTAAAAGACCCAAATAAACTAATGTAGTTCTGTCCTTGGCACAAGATGACTATAACTGCACGTTCATCCATCTTTTTCCCTGGATGAGTGTTTGTGCATGTTTGTGTGTGTGTGCGCGCATGTGTGTATGTGTGGGAGGGGTCGGGTCTTCTTCTTTTTTGTCTCTTTCTTTAATTTGTAAAACACTTTGTGTTGCATTTTATATGTATGAAAGTTGCTATATAAATAAATAAAGTTTAAGTTAAGTTCAAACACTCATTTGGCTCGCGCGCACGGCTTCACCGTCTTTGTTTTCATGACCGTGTAGTGATGAAGAGTTGTATTGTGCAGGTCCAGTCGGTTCAGGGCGAGCGGCCGAGTGTTACAGCACCATGGACAGCACTGGCTTTTGTGTGTAGTGAGTGCGTGTGCGCGTTAGAGGCGCTGAACTGTGCGAGCGATAGACAGAGACCGCGTCACTCACTTTAATAAAAACTGAAATTAAAATTAAATTACAATTCAACTTATGTGTGAATCATGTATGAATCAAACTAATTTAAATTAGTATCCATTGTAGTCAAAATGGTTGATGTAACGTTAACAGAGTCCTTACAAAAGGTGTTGTTTCACTCAATGTTGTAGCTAGATTATTATTTGACAGAGGTGTGAGTTTGTATTTACAATAGATCAGTTTGCTCCTT